AATTTACATCATTTTCTAGTCTTAAATTGAAAATTATATGACATCACTTCTATTTTTTATGAAAAACAACATTGATTTATTCTGGTGCATTGAAAAAAGGAAATGTTAAAATGGACAAAACAGCCAAAACAAACTGTAATGCATTTTTGCTTTAAAATGGAGAAATCGCAGTAGAGACATTTACGTTGATTCGCCAGACTTTCGGAGGAAAAGATGTAAAAAAGAGACCTGTTAAGAAGGTTCAGCGATTTTCGGTGGGTTATGGGTCATTAAATGCACAGCTGAGGACAAGAAAATCGAAAGAATTGGGAGGGCGGAAGGAAATGTTCAATGGTGCGTGACGTTGTCAAAACGACAGACAGATAGAGTGATATGTGAAATTTTAAGTTGGCCTTTTACTACTGTTAAATGAATTTTGACAGAATTAATTATGAAATGAGTGAGTGTACGATGGGTACTAATAGTAAGAAAGTAAAATTTGTGAACGTGTTCGTGGATATCAAATCTCAAATATTTTTTAATGAAACGAAGGGAAGCGTTTAAATGTATGACGGCACGTTCCGTCATATTACGTTATTTAGCTGCGGCGACTACCATAATCGTACATTGTATATAATCCGATATTTTGAAAAGTATAAATCATGTTCAATTGAAATTTTGAGGTCTGATTTGAAATAAAAGTAGCTTTCATCATTTATAATTTTGTTGTTTTACGTCGACGGATAGCGATTTTATTGAAGTTGTGACATTACTTTTGGATCAACCCTCATATTAGTAAAAGACTAAAAATTAATGAAAACTAGCATTCAATCAATATTTTTCTTGAAAGAAGTTGAAAAAAATCTTAACACCTAAATTAAAATTTCTAAGAAACAGCTTGTGTGAAACAGTGAAACAAATACATATTGATTAATTATATTTAGCCTTTATTGATTAATTATGTGTAGCCTTTCCGTTCCGTCTTAGTTCACACCTACTTTAGTTTTAAGGATAAGCAAGAACTCTTTGTGTCATATTACATACATCACTGCAATCTAAATCCTTCATAAATCTACTACATTGCCTATGGCTTTACCAATCCTTGCAAATACAGAAATGAAAAACAATCCACAGTTATCTAACAGTTATTTTATCCTGTTTTTTTTAAAAATAATTTGACAACAAAATACTCAAGTTACAACAACAACAACAACAAATGCAAAATGAATATTTCTGGTTTTTTTCAGGTGACAAATTTGTTTATAGTGCAAGTTAATCTGCTGTAACAGCATCAACAGGTGTTTTTTAGTATCACAGGATAACAACAGCAATCCTTATTTTTATTTTTTTGGTGCTGCAATCTATGTAAAATATGTTGATTAACCGTCCATTCATGAAATTTTATTCTGGCCATTTGACGATGAAGAGTCCTTTTGCGATAATTAGTACTTGCGAAAATTAAGGAATCTACAATAGTGGGCAGATTGTCATTCTGATTAGTGGGCAGAGCGTCATTCTAGTTAATGGGCAGATTGTCATTCTGAATTTCTGATTAGTGGGGCAAATTTTTATTCTGATTAGTGGGCAGAGTTCATTCTGGTTCATGAGCAGTTTTTCATTCTGATTCTGATTTGTGTACAGTTTCATTCTGATTAGTGGACAGACTGTCATTCTGAATATTCAGTTTATCATTCTGATTAGAGGGCAGATTGCCGTTCTGATTTATGTATACAGTTTTATTCTGATCATTGGGCATTCAAACTCTTTAGCGAAGTGTTTTTATTTCTGTTTAAGGGCATGAGTGTCATTTCTCCTTGTAGCAAGATGTGTACATCACTACTTTCACTTGCATTTAAAAGTAAATTTTGACATTTTAATATCTGACAACAGTGAACCTATGCAAAAAATTTGTAACACATTCTTTTTTTTATTCATCTGTAACTTAACAAAACAAAAGTTATTAAAAGACAACTAGGCACATCTGATCTACCTCTCTCTTCTACAATTAACATATAAAGAAATCTTATTAGCTTATTTGTTGCTTAAAATTTGAAGAAAATACTGTAACAATCAACTCAGAGGTCTATATTTTCAATTATTGTTGTCAGCTTTTAAATTCTAGCCTTGTTGCTCATATACACGTAATGTATGTATATAAATTTGCATATTTCTTTGTAAAACCTTTACCTTTAAATTCATATTCATTTAAACTTTGATCCACAAGTCTAGGGTTAACCATAAATTGGGATTGAAAGTTTTACACAAAAATATGAAGCTTGTGCAAAACCAAAACAAGAGGCCCATGGGCCTTATAGGTCACCTGAGCATCATGCAACAACTTGACAACGATCGACTCTGGTTCATGTTTTAAACTAGATGTCATGGCATTCACAATTTTGAAAGACGCACCATTGCTAATCATAACTAAACACATGTTTAGTTTGGTTACTTAATACCCATAGACAGAGTAGGGGAACAAAAAAATGCATTTCGACTAATCAGTAATAACCAGCAATAATCAGTATAGTGCCTCTACCACACATGAACCCCTGACCCTTGGTCCACACATTTCACAATTTTGGAAAAGGCACCCTTGCTTATCAAAAATATTTGATTGATACAAAGGAAAAGATTTCAATCAGTTAATTCATTTTCAGTATATAAGAGTAGAAGCCCTCCCCCCTCTATGGTACCCCTGATCCAGGGGCGTTGAAATTCATAATTCAGGAAGAATGGCCCTTGCTCATCAAAGCTATAAAGGTAGTTCATCTGCTTAATACCCAGGAGCAGAGAAGAAGATTTTCAAACAATTTCTGCATTTTCTCTATATAACCAATAGAGCCCTGCCCTAACAAAAGAACCCCTGACCCTGGGGTCATAAAATTCAGAAAGGTTTTCTTCCACATCAAAACTACATGTATGTACTTAGTTAGTTTATTTAATACCCAGGAACAGAGAAGAAGATTTTTAAAGAAATAATCTATTTTCACTACATAATCAATAGAGCTCCGCCCTAACACCAGAACCCCTGACCCTGGGGCCATAAAAATTCACAATTTTGGAAGAAGCATTCTTGCTCATCATAACTATATACGTAGTTAGTTTGTTGAATACCAAGCAGCAGAGAAGAAAATTTTCAAACAAATTCTGCATTTTCACTATATAATCAATAGAGCCCCACCCTAACACCAGAACCCCTGACCCTGGGGCCATAAAATTCACAATTTTGGAAAAGGCGTTCTTCCTCATCATAAATATGTACTTGGTTAGTTTATTTAATATACAGGAGCAGAGAAGAAGATTTTTAAAGAAATAATGCATTTTCACTATGTAATCAATAGAGCCCCACCCTAGCACTAGAACCCCTGACCCTGGGGCCATAAAATTCACAATTTTGCAAAAGGCATTCTTCCTCATCATAACTATGTACTTAGTTAGTTTATTTAATACCCAGGAGCAGAGAAGAAGATTTTTAAAGAAATAATGCATTTTCACTATATAATCAATAGAGCCCCGCCCTAGCACTAGAACCCCTGTGGCCATGAATTTCACAATTTTGGTAGAGGACTCAATGGTCATTACATTCATGCTAACAGTTTGACTGCTTGATGTCCAGGAGTAAAGAAGAAGATTTTTAAAGATTGCACTAACTTTAATGGTTTTGGCCCCACCCCTCAGGCCCCAAGGGGGCAGGGACCATGAAATTCATAATTTTTTCCCCCTTTACCCATAGATGCTTTATGTAAAATTTGGTGGAAATTGGTTGAGTGGTTGCAGAGAAGAAACTGAAAATGTTCAAATGTTAACACACGACGAACGACGCATGACGACATACGAAAACAGATAGCAATAGGTCACCTGAGTTTACTCAGGTGACCTAAAAAGCTATCCTAAGCCTTAACATACTGTAGATTAAAATCATTGAAACCATAAACTTAAAATTATTAGCTGCAAAAAGTTTTTCCATTTAGCTACATATTTATTTGTTGAGAAGATGTGACCCAAGTCAGCTTTAGGACAAACTGCAAAGGCAGATCCAGTGCCTGCATGCCGGGCGTGAACCCCCCCCCCCCCCCCCTTTTTATTTTTTTTTCATTTTGTTTCTGTTAAGTCCAGTTACTGTAGATTAGCAAATAATCATGATGGTTTTAATTTCACTATGTTCGCGATTCATCATTTTTCTGTGAAATTTAAACCATCATTAATTGTTACCATTTGTTTTTTTAAACGTTTTAATGCTTATATAATGCTCAATAAATATCTTGCAGTGTGAAATTAAAACCATCGCGATCAGTACTTTTTGAGAAATTTTAACACAGTGGAATTAAAACGACTTACAGTAAGTACAGAAATTGATAAAATGATAACATATAAGTCCTTTACTTTTTTCACTTGTGTTATAGTACAGATGTGTACGGTTCGAGATACATGTGTATTCTGAAATATTAATTTGTGACCATGTGTATTCTAACACAAGGTCACAACTCCTTTCCTAAATTCAAGGGGAAACACCTCTTATTTGTGGTAATTTAAAGCCCCCAGACCCCAACCAGGGCTTTATCCACAACCCACGAATGGGCTTAAATGCAGCCCCAAACCACTCTGTCTCCCCCTCCCCCTCTGTTATGAATTTCCTTGATCTGCCACTGAACTGGCCTCTTGTTTTGACTCGATCCTTGTTCTAGTCCTTGGTATAGACCTTTTTCAGTATGTTCATTATAATAATCAATATGACTGATAAAAATTAATTCAGTAAAATTAGAGTGAGGAAATAGCATCAAACATAAAAGCACATAAAGGCATAATTTTCTCTACTTCTTTACAGAAAGGATATGAATTTCAGAAAGCAACTCATTGAAGATGCATTATTTTTAAATGAAAGATTTAAGAAATATATTTTAAAAAGAATGTTCCAACCTGCAGAGTGTGCTGATAGTAAATGCTTTAAGGGTTTGGATTTAAAAGTTATAGAACAGTAAAATGATCTTGTCAAATATTAGATTCATAAATTGGATAAAAACCTGTTCTGTTTCCACATAATTAGCACATGCTCCTGTTTCATCCAACCCCCTCATCTTCGTTCTTGTACCTACAATAAATTCACATTATCTAATAACTCTACACCAGATTACTTTGCTTCTTCAAAGTGCACACAAGTGCATATTCATCACGCTTTACAAAGTGGCATAAGTATTTTTGAAATATTTTGAATTTTTCAGAAATTTATCCAAAATCTGATTCAAGTGTCTTTTGACTCTCATCATACTTTCTGATCTAGCCTACTTATAGATTAATTTCATAAAATAAAGGTACTGATTGCCTTTAGAATTTCATGATTTTCATATTTTTTAAAACGTTTTTTTAAGGAAAATAATCAGGACTAAATATATCATTTATAAATGGATTTTTTTAATTAATTTATTTACTTGTTGATTTTTTTTTTCATTATTTGGTTTCTTTTTCATTGTTTTTGCTTTTTTTGTTGTTGTTCTGTTTTGTTTGTTCATTGTAAAATTTCATTAATTTTTTGAAATATAACAAGAAATTCTTCCAAATAAAATACTGACCGGCCCTATGTATGCTCCTCCTGGAGATAATTCCGAGTTGATATTCCAGCGGGTCCAGATGTTTGGAGTTTCCGTAATCTGGACTGAGATCTAGAGAGGAAGTGGAGGACGGGGTAAAATCCAGGACACAGTTCTCCATCTGTACGTAGCCCTGGATTACTGGGACGATCCAGTGGGTGTACAGCTTCTCTACCTGTCAGACAGGAAATATTGCATAAGTAGGATTTTAATGTGGATTCAATTTTAGGGTGGGTGTTGAGATAAATAAAATTTGATATTACTTTAACTCAATGCTATTTCTTTGGTAAAACTAACTTTCTTAACATTGTACATTATGTAAAATCACTTAAAAATATGTTCAATTTTTTAAGATAAATTGCTGAATTTATATGCCTCACTAAATAGTATTCCACTAATACAATATAATATAAATATTGCATGTAGTTGAGTGTAACATTGAAAATTTTCACCGCAAGAAGACCATTGTTAACTACGGCGCAGCCGAGGTTGACATTGGTTTTCGAGGGGTGAAAATTTTCAATGTTACACTCAACTACATGCAGTATTTATTATATTATACTGCATGCATGAATGTTTTATACAAATACATATAACAGTGAAAGGTGCCCGCATAAGTTCTGCGCAGTCGCTATTTTTTGGAATATCACCCGTCGTCAAGCACTGTTGACTGTTGCTACACTGGAGGGCGTGGCTTCATTATTCAGCGGGTAATAGTGTTTTTTAACAAATGTTTCTCGACCAATCAGATTCAACCATACATGCCAACTTTCCCGATTTAGGCGGGATTTTCCCGATTTTGCCCTTTCATCCCGCCTTCCCGATCGGGAAAAAAAAGTTGCCTTATTTCCCGATTTGAAAAAAGATCACCAAAATTTTCGATTTTAAAAGTTTCCCTACCACTGAATTTTGACAGTCGGGATAACAATGTCAGACTTGTTTATTCAATGCACACAGATAAGTTTCATTGTTTATTTAACCAGGTGTAAATTAGGCCTATAGCCACAGGAAATCATTTCACGCTTGAACGCACGGAGTTGTCCAGGTACGAGTAGCTTATAGCTTGGGGCAATTAGGGGATTATCTTGTCAGTTTTAAGGGGTATGCAAGATGAAAGACATAGATTAACCTGATAACAGTTAGTCATTTTATTAAAAACATAAATTAAAGACAATAAAATACTAATCAAACCATAAAATCGGAATCCAAAGAGATCGTTTTTTGAAAACGAAAGTAGAAAACTACAAAGCATAGCTGCTGATTTTATCTACCTATAATGAAAAATATTGTAAAGTTTGGCAGTTAAAATATTATGAAAAAAATTAAGATGAAACAATCAAGTGTATGTCAATTAGAATTTCTTTTCCCTCCCTTTCCAGTCAGTCCAATACGAAAATTCGTAATTTTACGAAAAAACGTAAGATTACGAGAAAGCGTAATATTACAAGTTATCGTAATATAAAAATTATATAACGATTTTTCGTAATGTAGTTAAATTACGAATATGCGTAATATAGCAGATGTAAGAGACTATATTATGAGTTTTCGTAATCCAAGACAAATTCAAGCATTGCAAGAAATCGAGTGGCGGGTAGCAAAGTATGGCGTATAATACGAGATGTCACGGGCGATAACTTGTACGACGCTTACTGAGATTTGAAATTCTGTTTATTTTAATAAGAATTGCACGAACAGTTGAATTATGAAACGAGGGTGTGATTTTTAGGGTAGACTTCGGAAGAAAAGTAGGGAGTTCGGGTGATATAGACCAATGCTACATGCTTGAGCGAATATTGAAATTTACTGGAAAATTGGTCATATCCGTGGGAAAATTCCTATAAAAGAATAATAAAAGAAATTGTCCACTCACCCATCACTGGCGATACTTTCTTCTTGAATTTCCATGCTTTCTGATAGGCGTAACTGACCAGTCTGACCGCATGCTATCATTAGCCATGGAATCTGATATATTACTGACGTCATACTTTGCTACCCACCACTCAATTCTTGCAATGCTTGAATTTGTCTTGGATTAGAAACTCGTAATATAGTTTCTTACAATCTACTATATTACGCGTATTCGTAATTTAACTACATTACGAAAAAACTTAATATAAGTTTTATATTACGAAAACTTGTAATATTACGAATTTTCGTATTGGACTGGACTGTTCTCCCTAAAGTAATATGTTAGGTATGTGCATGCATGACTTAACAAATTATTCTTTTTTGGATAGGTGGTATAAATTTCTGTAAATTTAATATCTCATTAGAATTTTTAATTAATTGAAATTTAATAAAAAAAAATCTCAAATTTTTTCCAGAAACTGGATTTTACAGTTTCAAAACCTTGTGTATTTTTTTGCCTTTGAAAAAAATGATTTAAAAGTTGTACATTTTTCAATTTTTTACTAAATTATGTGTCATGGTAGAAAAAAAATGTTGTTTACATATGTAACAAAATACCCCTTCTTTAGTGAGAGAGGCACCTATTTTAGCAAAAATATCTAAATCTTGGAAAGAAAAACATTATTTTTTGTGTTAAATTAATCCTTAAAAGTTGTATTGATCATAAATAATATCAATATTATAAATGTAAAAAAAAGATAATTTCATAATCATTCAATTTCACGACAAAATGTCGCGAATTTAAAGCTTTGAAAATTGTCGTCACGCGTAAATCCCCAATGGGAATTTTCAAAAGTTGGCATGTATGTTCAACTAATTTACATGAAAGTATAATATAAGTTTATAGGTACTGCAACTGATGGCAGATATATAAGGCCATTTAAAATTTAATTTCAAATATTTTTTTATATCTGTAATAATAATGGGGAAAACAACTGGACTGTCCTCTTTTATTAATTATTGTTGATAGCTGCTTAATACATTAGTCTTAGACTGTTGGCCTGGCCTTCATCCTAATATTTTTCTTTATATCACAAAATTGATAATATGATTCATTTCTCTAAATTTCCCTTTTAAGGATATGATTTCATAGAAAACATCGATATTTAAAATATCAATGACACACCTCTGGATCCCCCTCAACATTAATCAGATCACTGAGCATGTGCCTGTTCCAGAAAAACCTTGGATCCACCTGCTGCCAGAGAGGGAGGTGTTTGTTTGACTGGTACTCCTTTCCGTGTTGTCGCTGCAAACTGGTGGTCAGATCAAAGGTTTCACTGTAGTAGAAGGAGTCTGAATCTGTAAACATCTTCAACAGTTCCTATTAAAAAACAGACAGAAATTAATTTATTAAGAGAGAGAAATTAATTTAAGTGT